CGCGGACGTCTACCGGTTGCCTGGGAAAGCAGCCTGGGGGCGAGACCCAGTCGTGACTCTCGTTCTATCACTAGGCGAACAAATCAGTGTCGCGACCATCGTCTCATAGCACCGATGCTGCAACCTGCCTCTGGCGAAGCCGCGACGGCAGACGCAGACTTGCAAGTCGCACTTGACGTCACAGCCCTCAGCGGGCCTAAGGCCACGCTGATAACTGAAGGGACGATCAACCGTGATCAGCCCGACGGATACTCATATAAACATTGCGAGGACAGTTCAATAAACATATCTTTGCATGGGATTGAGGCTAGAGTAATAAGGGCACAATATGTCATTCAATACACAAGTGTTCGCTCAAATATCAATGACGCCAATAGGTTGCGACTGTCAGGGGGAACAGAACGCGAAGTCCCACCTATCGTGAGGAGCATAGTTGAAGGGAACTGGATGGCCCCTGTACAACACATGCAACTTGGTCTTCGCATTATCAGAGTGGTTGCCATCGTTCGCGAGATCATGAGCTCCTTTATTTCAGAGAGACATTTTGTTGATTACCCGGGGCGAACAGTTCGTACCGCGGGAGGGAGCACAGATGATGCTAATTGGGATGCATATGCCCTCGACGGTCGCATCCGCGCTGCGGTTCAGACGGGCGACCTCATCGAAGAGTGGGCCCGTAATTTAGGTAGACAGGTACGAACCGACATTCGTCGCCAGGGCCCACTGTTGCAGGAGGCCATTTATTGGTTTCAAAACAGGTACGTAGATGCCAACACGGAGCTCCGAGATAAGGACGCAGGCCCGTTCCGCACTGCATGCGGTAAATTTGGCATTCCAGTAGCTACAGCTGCTAGGAATTTGCTGAAGTCCATTCGCGATCGAGAGCAGAATGTTCGTGAGAGCGGAAGTGCCAATGAGCCCCGCGACAGCCCAGCTGGTTTGGTGGGGCCGAGACGACCGCAGGATGCGGCGAAAGCGAGACCGCAACTGCCACCTCCGCCGCGCAGACCCGACGTCTCAGACGCTCGGGCTGGCGACGAAGTTACCGAATCCCCATGCTCTGCCACCGGCGCAGCCGTTTCGGCAAGAGAGGAAGACTCGTGGTATCTGACACACGGGATTGGTCGAGGCCCCAGCGCGCGCGCGATGGAGCCATGGATGTCGGCCGCGGCGCTGCTGGCTACGACCCGCTCGTCTCCTACCCGCGCTGCACAATCGACGTGCAGGTCGGATGCTACGTCCATAGGGATCGGATCTGGTGGCTGTCCAACGACGTCTGGTGGTCGCAGCTGTGGCACGTCCTGTCTCTGGCTGAACATGAGTATCGCTTCCCGCTGAAGGGGAAGGCGACCAAAAATAAAGACAAGCACTACAGAACAGCGCACTACGCTGGCCGTGGCAAAGGAAGGTCCCGCTCGCCTCGTGGCGGCGAGGGACAGACTGGAGGCTCGGCGCCATCGAACCCGAGGCCTCCGACGCCACCGACGGGGGACTACAACCCGTTCGAGGACCTGGATTGAATCCGGCCCGCGTGACTTAGTCGCTGCAGGCGTATGCAAGAGAGTTCTCGCCGCGCGACGAAGTCGTGTCGGACGAGTAAAGCAGCTCTGCCGATCGGCGAAGCCGAATCGGCGGATATAATTTATTTATCGGATGGTGGGAGTCGTCGGGCCTCTTCGGCCCTTAGCCCCCTGGTGGCCACCGTTGAGCGGTGCAAGTTTTTGGGGTTTGCTCCGGTGGTTGTACATATATAGGCCAGGGGTGCCGTGGCCGGATGGGCTCTACGAGGCCCGCCACGGGGGGAGTAAATATGCTCCTCTCCGCCTCATATTCATGCTGCTTTTCACATCACTTGCTTTGCTGCGCACTGCGTGACTATCTGCAGCTGTGTTGTACTCAAGCTACGCGTGAGCGTACAGGAGATAAAAGGAGCGTGCTGGCTCGCACGCGCGCGCCGAGGGGTCGCCCCCTCGTCGTACTCGTGTCGTCAGTCGGCCCGCCTCCTCACTTACTATTCCAGATCGAGTACTTTTGCTTACCGGTTACTTGTCTTATCGATGTCTCATCCCGTACCTTCTACCACTGAGCAGAGTGAACACGAGACCTTAATTCCTTTGTCATCTTACCCCGATTCTCAGAGGAAAGATTAATTGGCGACGTCACCTCGCGCCGCCCTTTTTCCATGGGCGATTTGTCACGCTCCTAGATTTCTTTGCAACACCTGTAGAGCCAATTCGGGACGGTGTTGGAGCGAGCTCGGGCGCTTTCAGAGTCGTTGTTCGAGACCTGCTTGCGGCTGTTCCAGGGTATCCTGGAGCCCGTTTTAGGCCTCGGGAGTCCATCGGAAGCGAGATGAAGAGTAGGCACGCACGCACTTGGACACCTCATGCGGCTTTTGAGTGGCTCCTGCCTCGGAGGACACCTAGTCTTGGGCGGCTCCGTTCCGTGGCCATGCGGAGCCGTCTTCTCGGCAGCCGAGGGGCCTCTTATGGAGTATGGAGGCACGCCGGAGAGGAGGGGCGGGTATCACCGGTCTTTGCCCGAGGTGCGCTCGCACTGCCTTCCTGCGCATGTTTCGCCTTTCCCTCTTGTCTCGTTCCTTACTAATCCTCTGAGCATCCGCTCCTCCGCGAGGTCCTGGGAGTGGGCATCCCCGGGGGCTCTCGGACCGGTCGCGCCCCTTTTTTTGCATGGCTCACGGCCGACTTCAAGGGAACCCTACGGGCTTGCTGGCGCTGCTACCTCTTCGGAGCAACCTTTGCGGTGCCCGCGCCGCCACTGCTGGCCTTCGGCCCTTATGCCAGTCGTCTGGCCATGGCATCGTTGTAATTTTCTCTGTGTCCCCCTGTTCCCCTCTGGTATGTCGTGTCCATGCCGCGGATGGCTTAGTGCTGGCCGCGGCGCTGCTCGTTCTGAGCGGCTTGAGGGCGGCTTTTAGACGCGCGCGCGCTCGCTTGCGCTTTTCTGACCTTTGGACGCCCTGTCGCTCTGCGCGGGCCCGCGACACCAGAAAGTGTGTGTGTATGTGTGTATGTGTGTATGTGTGTGTGTGTGTGTGTGTGTGTGTATGAGGGTGTGAGGGTGTGTGGTTTGGTGGGTGGTGTGGATGGGGGGGTCGGTTTTCAGAGTTTGCTGGCTTTGTGTGGTGACGTTGTAGCGAATGGGCTCCAGGGCGATCCGCCGTTCCGATGCGCTCATTCGGGCGAACAACGATTCCATCCGAGACCAATTTTCCTCCCAACTTTGAATCTGCAGCGGCCAATTTTTACCCCAAACGTTGTTCACCATGTTCTGTCCTACCACTCACATGTGGTGGTGATAACTTGTCCGGTGGTGTCCACAGGCGTACCACATGTCGGAGACGCCTTGGTGTTCACAATGGTCGGCGAAGTATGCAGGACATGATTTAATAGGGAATGGCTGAGCAGCAGGAGGGGACACATTCTGGGTCGATGTATGGGGATACGTATGCGGATTTAGGAATGATGCGACAAATTGTAGAAACAGTGAGGGCAGAGTGGACACAACAACAAATTATGATGAGGAACAACAGGAGGAACGTAATGTTTATGGGAGAAGGGGACGGGACCCGAATTGAAAGAAACGGAAAACACCACGAGGAAACAAATGAGGAATCAACATGTAGGGAGGGGGGGTGGGAAAGCAACAAGGGAAAACTGAAGAACAGGGACAACATGGAGGTGAATAAAACAGGGGAGGCGGGATAGCCAGGTTCAAATGAAGACGCCTTCTCTGCTACGGCCTCTTGTGGTGTTGTAGGTTGTCCTTCGAAATTGCAGCAGTAGCGCAGACGAGGACGAGTCTCGCCATCGTCCTTCGCCAGCAGCCTCCTCCGCCTCCTCGGGGTCCTCCTCCTCCTCCCGCTTCTATTCGATTCTGCGCTGTCTGGGCCTGGATTTGGTAATGGATGCCAGAGGATTGTTATCAGCAATCGTGTGCATACTCTCGCCACGCCATGTTGTTATCACGCATGTGGTGCATACGGTGGTTTTGTAATTCTCTTTTGGCTCATGACAAGTTTAATTTTTGGGCGTTCCATTTTGGTTGGTCCACCCCGTGGGCAGGCGTTGCCCGCGCAGCTGAGTGAATGAACCGTCGCTGGTAGAATTGTGTATTGCCTCCCTTCCTGGAGATATTGTGTTTTGTCAGCTGCACGCATGCTTTTGCATGTGCCTGTGTGGATAGAATTGCTGCTCGCACCCGTGGTTGTGATTGCGCTCTCCGCTGCAGGAAGCACGATACCACATGCCCATGCGTGTGTTGATGGTGAGCACTGTGACTGCCATGATATGGTAGGGCAGTATTATCAATGTTTACGCGCGACTTCAAACCGTGGGCGCGTTTTTGGAGTACATTACTGTGCATCGCGCGCGGATGCGAAGTCTCCAGTTAGATTTAGAGGGTCGTGTACTTCACGGTGCATTGCTTAGTATCCAGCTGCCTACGGCAGGTCCCGCCACCGTGTTTGTGCGTCTGAAGCCTGTTGGATGTTCGTTGGGATCTCATGGGAGGCCTCTCGGGGGCCTCTTGGATGCAGCGTTGATGCCACTTGGGGGCCGTTCTGGAGTCTCTTGGGGTTTCTTTTGGGCCTCCTGGGAGCCTCTTGGGGGCACCTTGGGGGCTGGTTGGGGCTTCTTGGCCGCCTCTTGGGGCCTCCTGGGCGCCCCCTGGGGCCTCCTAGGGGCCTCTTGGGGCGGAAGGCCTTTTCTTCCCTCCATGGAAAGCTGGTAGTTGGGGAAAGGTATGGGGCAAGGCAGAGCACTCTTCGGCAACGCGCAGCCGTCGGCATTTACATATGAGGCGGAACGCATAATCTTCCAGATCTGCTCTGTTTCCCTGTAGCGCTGGCTTACTTTCCATGCGAAAGCGTTTCCTCGTTTCTTATCCCCACGCTACTCTTGATTCCTCCTTCTGCAACCCTCGACTTTTCGCCCCTCATCTGTCTGATGGTCCCAGCTTCTGGAGGGGGCTGCGCACAGGCACTCGGGCTGCAAGACCCATGGCCACAGCGGACGCGGAGAAAGCGAAGGAGGCGGCGTCGGAGGCGTGGGTTGAGGGGGCCTTGTGTCGGGATGCGGTCAGACATAATGCGAGTAGGTAGACCAATTTGGTCACATGGTGGTGGTGATGATGGTGATGATGATGCTGGTGCTGATGGCGGCGAGGAGGAGAAAGAGGAGGATGATGAACCTGCTGAGAATGAGGATGCCAGCAGCACGGGCATAATGTGGATATGGATATGCGGCCGAGGATGATGACTAGTGATGGTGAATGCGCCGATTATAATCATGATTATGATGATGATGTTGCAGATGATGTTGATGATTGTGGTGATGATGCTGATTTGGATGATAATGATGCTGCTGAAGCTGATGACGATGCTGATAACTATTTTGATATTAACGATGACGATGACGATGATAGTGCTGATGATGCTTCTGCTGCTGCTGCTGCTGATGGTGATAGTGGTGGTGGCGGTGATGCTGACGATGATGCTGATGGTGATTATGATGGTGGTGGCTGCACTGGTATCAAGGATTTGGACTTTCATTCGGATGGTTATGCAGGAGAAAGAGGCGGAGGGGGACAACAAATATGCTGATGGTACTGATGGTTGTGATGATGACGCTGATGATGCTGTTGATGATGATGCTGCTGATGATGATAAGGATGATGATGGGGATTAGGATGTTGATGCTGATGCTACTGATGATAATTCTGATGATGCTACTGATGATAACGCTGACGATGCTGATGATGCTGATGATGATGACGATGTCTGGTTTTTGATTTCTGGCAGAAGTGTTTTTGCTGAAGTTCGCATGCATGACGTCACTCCGCTTCACTGGCGCCGCACCGGTGGCGCTGGTCTTCGCAAGTCCAGCCTGGCTGGCTCCGCTCGTCGTGATAGCGACAGCGGGGAAAAGCATGTTATTCTGCGCTTCTCTCGTCCCCGCCGTCTGTGCAGGGTCGTCGATGCTGTTGGCGTCGCCGTCGTGAGGACGCAACGGTAGGAGCGATGGCTACGTCGTGGCGTCTTAGAGCGCAAGGACTCGCCCGCGCCGTGGCGCTGGAGGACAGGTCCAACGCTTTCGGAAGCTCCTCATGGGGCCAGCTGGGTACAACCGTGCAACTGAACTTTCCCGAATGTGATCAGGCTCTTTGCGAGCAGCAGTACAAGGATTCCGCTGTGGAGGCGTCAGAGGGCCCTCTCACAGTTCGACTTGCGCAGGGGGTGCCATGTCGGACCCGATCGCCGTGCGCGCTTGTGCAGGCACTTTGGTCGCGCCCACTATTATCGTTCTTGCCGAGCCGAGGCTTGACTTCTGATCCGGGCCGTCTTGTTGCCGTCCTCGTCCATGCCCGAACCGTCTTCTTGTTGTTGCTGTTGATGCGAGTGGTGCTGATGACGACGACGACGACGATGGTTCTGATGATTGTGATGGTGATGATGATGGTGTGGTGATGGTGATTCTGATGGCGATGGTGGTGGTGATGAGGGTGATTTTGTGGATGATGCTGATGATGATGATGATGATGATGATGATGATGATGATGATGATGATGATGATGGTGATGGTGATGGTGGTGGTGATGATGATGCTGAGGAGGAGGAGGAGGAGGTGGAGGAGGGGGACGAGGAGGAGGAATAATGAGGAACGATAAGAAGGAAGGAGAGGGCAGAGACTGTCGATGTCTTGGGCCAGGCGCCTGCCGTGGAGCCCGCCAAGGATACTTCGGCGGACGCCTCGAAGGCGCCCGCTGTGGAGCCAGCCAAGGACGCGGCGGCTCCGGAAAAGAAGGTCGCGGTGGGGCAGCCGCGCCGCCACTGCGGAAGAAGCTGCTCAGACAGATCGGGCCCAGAGGTTTTCGGACGTTTCCGCCGTTTTTCCGAGGGCCCCGAGGGGAGGGAGGCCCCGAGGGGTCGCTCGCGGACCCGCCCCGCCCGTCCGCGACGGACCCCCCCCCATCCGTGACGCCCCGGGCTGCGTGTTCAGCGGGAATTTCGGGGCGGGCCTGGCCGTGGCGCCGTGTCCGGGCGATCTTCCAGCCCGGGGGGTGCCTTCCAGCAGCTGCGCCCCGCCGAGAGCAGTCAGGCGGGAGCCTGGATCGTCGCGAGCGGCCGCGGGCTCCGAGAAGAGCAGCCGACACGAACATGGCTGTGGGAACTCCGAGCGGACTCCTGGGGTCGGCGCCTGGGCTCCTGGGCGTGTTCTGGTCCGCAGGAAGAAGAGTCGTGGGGATGCGTTGCTGTGCATCGATTTTTCCTGTCGATTTCGGCTTGTGTCCATGTCGGTTTATTTCGGTTCCTGTCGATTTCTTTTATCCGTCGGTTTTCCTGTCGATCTCGGCTCTCGATTCCAAAACCACCAGATATGATCCTGGCGCGTCGCGTATCCCTACCAGTTTTTCCAGAAACGATCGCCAAGGGAGTTGCCCGAATGAGGGAAGTGTAGAAACGCGTCGTGTAACAGCCGCTGTGGAAACGGGTCGGGGACGCAGGAAACGGCGGGAACGTATGTCGAGTGATATACTTCATGTTCCCCTGACGCAGCGGTTTTTTGTTTGGGTTTCCCGGGGGCCGTCGAGGGATCCTCTCGGGGCGGGGTGATCGTTTTTCTCGACAATAGGAGGAGGAGGAGGAGGAGGAGGAGGAGGAGGAGGAGGAGGAGGAGGAGGAAAACGAATGTTAATAGTTCTTCTAAGAAGAGCAGTACTAACAGCATGAATCATAATGCGACAAGTACTACTCACATGCATAACACGCAGAAGAAAGACTATGAATCATAACCTAACACAAACAAAATAATGCGAATGCTAAGCCAACTAAGGCGAATCTGACGCATTCTTATAGTATTATTACCGATCATAACAATACTGAGCTGTGTATAAGCATACTGGTAGAGCAACCGAGGAAGAAAATGAACACAAACACACTAAACGTAGCAACCTGATGGATAAGGTGAATACGCATACCACGACTATAGATAATTCCAACACTACTCATAGTAGTAGTAGTAGTAGTAGTAGTAGTAGTAGTAGTAGTAGTAGTAGTAGAAGTAGAAGTAGAAGTAGAAGTAGAGTAGTAGTAGTAGTAGTAGTAGTAGTAGTAGTAGTAGTAGTAGTAGTAGTCGTAGTAGTAGTAGTAGTAGTAGTAGTAGTCGTCGTAGTCGTCGTCGTCGTCGTCGTCGTCGTCGTCGTAGTAGTAGTAGTAGTAGTAGTAGTAATGGTAGTATTATCATTATTAGTAGTAGTCGTCGTAGTAGTAGTAGTAAATTTAACAGTATTAATCATCTGATGCTGCTACTGATGATGATGCTGATGCTGGTGATGACAATGCTGGTGATGATGATGCTGATGATGGCGACGATGATGATGGTGCTACAAATAGATATTTTAATCGCAATGTTAGATAGTGTAGTAAAGTTGATGATGAATCTAGAAACTTTTCCCTAACATTCTAAAGTAGTAATGCTATGCGTTCTACTGATACTATGGCTAATATTCACACGAAAAAGAAGGCACATGGAAACACTACTCGCTCGTGTTCGTTATAGTTGCAATCTCGCTATGCACTGTATTGCCTCCTCTCTCTCTCTCTCTCGTCCCTCTCCCCTCGCTCTGTGCCTGTGCGCGTGGTGCTTTCGCCTTTTTCAGCGATGCCGCTTCGGCCTCGTTTAGGGCCCTGGAGGCACCGGACGACCCTCGCCGGCCGGCAGTCGGTTCCCGATGCTCGCGATCTCAGGGGTCGCGGCGAGTGGAGACGTATGAGGAGCCCTGGGACGACGACGAGGACACTCGCTCAGCAGCAAAGGGAAAGGGCAAGCAGGACCCGCTGAATCGACCACGCGGAAATCTGCCTCCAGCGCCGGAGTTTGACGGCAACATGGAGGATCCCAAGGTGTTCAAGCGGTATAACTCTCTGGTCGAGAACTGGGTCCTGATCGCAAAGAACATCATCGGACCGGAGGAGATGGGGCCACGTCTTTACAGTGCGCTCAAGGACAAAGCTTTCGACCATGTTGAGGACGAGAAGCCTTCAGTCTTCGCTGTTCCTGATGGTGTGGAATTGCTGCTCCAGAAGTTGGCATATTTCGATCAACGCCCGACGGGGAAGATCGGTCAAGCGAGGGGCGTTTTCTTTCATATGGATCAAATCGAGGCTGGCGAAACCCTGCTACAGTTGGCGACCAGAGTTGATAAGGCAGTGCTGCAGGCCATGTCCGTGGAGCTGGACATCCCCGACCCAATTATCATTCGGCAGTTCATGAAGAGCTCGCAGCTGGACGCTAAGACGCAGGCAACTCTCTTGATGGCGGCGGGCTCATCGTTCAAGTGGAAGCCTCTGCAGGAGCAGGCCGCGACGCCGTTCCCTCTGCCGCTCGTCCCCCGGAACAAGTATCAAGGCGACCAGAAGTTCAGTCCACAGGGCAACTCAGTCAACATAGCGAACGCTGACGGCCAGGCGGACGAGTGGCCCGGCTACGGGCAGAATGACGACAACGACGCGTGGCAACCTGAAGAGTATCAAGCAGATCCAGAGTACTCGTTCGAGAACGGCTGGGTCGAAGATCAAGTTGATGACAGTTTCTGGTCGGAGCAGCTTCCCGAGTCTTTGGCGCGAGAGATGCACGCGGCGTGTGTGATTTTCAAGCAGGCCCGCGGCCGCCTCAATCAGGCGAACCGGGCCCGCGGCTGCTACAACGCGAAGGGCTCCAATGGACAGGGCAGTGGCGAGTCGGAGCCCGGCAAGGGCTTCACGGCGAAGGCGTTCGGCAAAGGTATTGGCGAGGCCGCTGCTCAAGGACAAGCGCGACGAGGCATGTCTCTGGAGGACCTGAAGAAGGTGGCGAGCTGTTCGGCGTGCGGCGAGATGGGCCATTCGGCCGGAGATCGCCAGTGTCGCTCTCCGAGTGGCAAGCGCCCGTCACCACCGTCGGTGGGCCAAGCGAACGAAGCTTCTCAGTCGTTTGACCCCTGGTGGATGCCATTGGCCCCAGAGGGCAACGTGATGATGCCGGAGGCGGAGCCAGGCTTGCGGTCGGGCTCAGGCACACGGCGTCGTCTTTAAGGATCGACCGCCAGGCAGGGCAGGACGGCCAATTGTTTACCATCTGTGGCAGAGGCAGAACACGTACATCACGTGATGGCAGCGACATCAAATATTCGCTCCTACCCTGGGGGCTCGGACACTGGCAGTTGACCGACAACGAGTAGAAGATGCTGTGCGCGATAGTGGTCATCTCGTGAGGACCGAACCCCAGTTCATGGGCCCATTCACGCGCGACGTATCATGATGACCTATGGCAGTGGTGGTCAGAAGCCAGGGTTCTCAGAAGAAAGCTTCCGCAAGGAACGGACGGTCTACATGATGGCGACGGTCAACAGCGGTCTGAGCGCTGAGAACATCGACATAACATAGCTTTATTTGTGCTGGGCACTGCGTGTCAGACTACCGTGGCAGGACTCGATGGCTTGAAGTTGTTTTAGAAGCGTTTCCTGGGCCCTATGGACCTGCAGGTGTGCGTTCGACCCGAGCGAGAGCAGTGTCGTTTTGGTCCAGGATCCCCGACTGCGAGTGCCGAGCGGTGGTCTCTGCCGGTTGGGATCCACAAGCGCGCCATGCTCATGCGTGCTTCGACGATCGACGGCTCTCGCGCGGCGCGGCTCTCCATCCTTGGCGGCAGAGACCTGATCACCGACCTCGGGTGCGTGATCGACTTGGCTAACGCTCAGGCCCATGTCCTGGCGACCGATCTTCCGAACGTGCAGCTGGTGATGTCTAAGAGTGGACATCCCGCCATTCGGATCGACGACTGGCCGTTTACAGGCTTTCCTTTTGCCCGGTGGCTTCACCTGGGACACGTGCGCAGTAGCTGTGCTCAGGGGAGATATGACAAAAAACAGTCGTCGACCTCGCTATCATCTCGCCATCATCATGAAGGTTGCCATCATGAAAATCATTATCAGGAACTCCAAGGTCTTAATCAGCCTCCACAGGGTCATCGTGAGCGAAATGGGCAGCATCAGCAAGCCTGCTTCTCCAAGCGGGAGCTGAACAGCAACGACATGTTCGACATCGGCAATTCCTATCGGCAGTGCGACAAGCAAACATGGCAGCAGGGTAAGTCTCGGGCAGCAGACATCTACGAGGATGACGAGGACGACGAAGGAAACAGCCAAGTTGAAATGCATCGAAACGCCCCGTTCTCGGCCGAGGCCAACTATCAAACAAACGCCGATGCTGTTTGTGTGCCAAGCCAGCTTGCGACATCAGTTTTGTCAGCTTCCGCGCCGGCGACGCTTTCGCCCACTTCGAATTCTTCGTATCCAGCTTCCGTAGATGCCGCGGCGGTTCAAGCCAGCGCCAGAGGACGTCCGGGCGCAATGGGCCTCTCTGGTGCGGGCTGTGTTCGTGATCGTGCGCCTGATCAACAGGGGCCGCAGGCAGGATATAGTCGACCGCTTCATCAAGGACCACTACTCGTATTGATGATCCTCGGCAGCAGGGACAAGCTGAAGGAGAGCTACGCGCCGGGCGCCGAGACAAGTTCGGCGACAAGGATGAGTTCCTACCCAGAGTTGGCGCGCTGCTGCCTTCACCCGAAGAACAGGGGGCATAACTACACGGTGCCAGTGGGCAGGTTCAGGGAGTGCCTTTACTGCGGGGCGATCTGGAAGGCGCACAGGCACGCGGTCAAGATCGGGAAGTCCCAGTTGGAGGATGCGATCTTCAGGGAACTTAACGGCCCTCGCAGGCGCCCCGGGGCAAATGTCGACATGGTGCTATGCGTGGCCAGCACCTCGGCAGGCAGCTCTTACGAGCGACCTTCCTTGTCGGCACGGCCCTCGCGTCGCTCGCCCCCAGTTGGTCACTCGGATGCAGTGCGCAGAGCGGCGTCTTCTCGCGGGCGGAGTCGCTCACCTCCCTCGGACGAGATGGTAGTCGAGGAGGTGGGCTCGAGCTGGGGGCGGTCCCCGCAGGAGGCGCCGGAGATGCCGTGGGCTGTGGCCAGGCCGAGCGGCATTTCGGCATGGCTAAGACAGCTTGCCAGAACGTCAGTATCGAGAAGGCGGTGTACTAGCAGAAGCTCCACAACAGCAGGTTCCTCAGGCGCAGTCGACGCTGCTACGATCTCCTCGAGGTCTTCGGCGGCGAGTGCGGCATCACCATCCGTGCCGCCGACCGGGCCAACGGCTGGAACATGCGCGCCCTGCAGCCCATCGATAAGCTGTTCGGCCAAAGACCTGACCTCAAGGAGGAGAGTCCACGGCGCGACGTTCTCAAGATGATCGACAAGTGGCGGCCCCGCCTCGTGATCGTTCAGCTGCCGTGCGCGTTGTGGACACTGCTGAACCGCAACATCGACTACAAGGACCATCCGGAGGTTCTCGGGAGTCTACGTGGCGAGGAAGGGTGCTTCCGGACCTTCACCAGGGACATCTTCAAGAAGCAGAAGAGCTACGGGAATCGTGCGCTCCTCGAGAATCCAGCTCCAGCCGACTCGTGGCGCGAGGGCGTCATCCTGGAGCTCTGGAAGGAGAACTACCATTTCACGTCCAACATGTGTATGTTCGGTATGGTCGGCAAGAACGGCTCGCCTAGGCAGGAGCTCGTCCGCTGGATGGGCACTCGCCTTCTGTTGATCCAAGAGCTCGATCGACATTGCGACCGTCAGCATTGACGCGAGGAGGTTTCAGGTGGCGGACCTTCTGGGAACACTAGGCGCTCGCAGGTCTACGCGTGGCAGCTCGCCGACGCCATTTGCCGCGGCTTGATAAGGGTCATCGAGGGCGAGGAGTTTTGCCATGGAGTCCATATTTGCAGCTACCAACCGTGAGCTACGACAAGCCAGCTCAACATGCACACCAGGTCTGCTACGCGGCCCCGACCATGGAGGAGCCTCGCTGGCGGGCCATCATGAGTGGCGTGCTGGACGTCATGAGTCATCGCAACGCTCAGTCCGCGATCATTGCCAAGGACTCCGAGATGTGGAAGCAGGTGGAAGAGCTGATCCCTTGGCAGTTGCTGAGCATCCAGGCCGCCGTCGAGCCGAAGGCCAAACGTTTGACTTCGGACACGACGTACATCGATGCTCAGTTCTACTTCAACAAGAGAACGAGCTGGTCATCGAGCACGAGTATGTTCCCGACGCCTACGCTCCTCGCGAGCGGTTTGAGACGCCGGCCGGGTACGCTCTCTTGTGATCGGCAGGGCCCCCGTTGGCGAGCTGACTCCACCTCGACCGCCAGTCGGAGGAGAATCGCGACAGCCAGTGCCAGTCCCAGCGCCCGATGAGCCACAACCAGAAGAGCTACAATTTTCTCATGCTCAACAGCGTGCTGGTGATGATTTGGTTTGCTGGTCCTCGGCTTGCGGCCGAGGAAATGCGTGCGGCGCCCATCGTGGCCCGGGTGCATCAGAACCTGAGCCGCCCGCTGCAGCCCGACTTCACGAGGTTCTTGAACGGCAGCGATGAGAGCCAGATCGCCATCGACCTCAGTCGTCGCCTACGATGCAGCTCATGTCTCAGGAACGTCAAGCCGAGGCGTCCGAGTCCAGCCAAGATACCTTACATCGGATCGTTCAACGCACGCGTCGGCCTCGACATCTTCTACCTGCCCGATGCTTCGCACCAAACACACAAGTTTCTGAGCATTTTGGAAGTGTCTGGCCTACTGATGGTGGTCGTCTACTGCCCCTGGAGGGATCTGGCGTACGTGCTGGAGGTTTCCTGCATGTGCTGGCTCTCATGGGCTGGATCTCCGGATCGCGTGGTGCGTGATCGCGATGGAGCTTTTCAGTCTCTCTTCGTCGAGCACATGGAAGAGCACGAGGTATTGGTCGAGAAGCCCCCTTCAGAATTTCGCTGGCAGTCCGGCCGCGTGGAGGCGAATATCGCGCTCTGGAAGCACATGGCGAAGCGAGTCATTGACGACATGCAGTTGGTCGGCCCTGAGGACATGAAGATGATGGCCCCGGCGATCAAACAGGCCAGGAGCTCACGGGTTCGACATCTGTAAAGCTTCGCCGTAGCAGTGGACCTTCGGAAGGACCCGAGGATTCCCGACAGCATCACCGACATTGCTAACTCCGTAGTGGTGCATAGCGCCATGACAGCCGATGCCGAGCTCGCCAAGAGGGCCCGATTCCGCGTGCTTGCGGACATGGCTTTCACCGACTACGACCGCTCCGAGTCCCTCAAGCGATCCATGCTCCAGGTCAACCGCCCGTGCCTCGGCGACTACGCAGCTGGCGATCGTGCCGCTTTCTGGCGACTACCGAAGAACAAGAAGGGCAAGCAGTTCCTGGCGCGGTTTATCATCGCGAGGGTGATCGATGGTGGCAGTGGAGGCGCTGACGATGACAACGTCTGGGTGCAGTTGTCCGGACATCCCATCCTGGTCTCGAAGGAGCAGCTGCGCGAGGCTCAGGGCACCGAGATGTCGGCCTCCGACGACTCCGACCTGGCCGAGCTGCGACGCGCTGCCCAGGCACCTCCAGAACGTTTTCATGATGAACGAGGCGCCCCTCCTCTTGCAGGCGCACTTGACGTAGCTGACGTCGTGGTCTCCGACCTGGCCTTAGCTTTGCAGGACGAGACCGGCCGCGATCAATCGTAGCCACCAGTTCAAGCAGCTCTACCAGACTCACCGCCACAGGCCGAGGCACCGTCACCAACCGAGCCATCTGCTCGGAATGCGGAAGCGATGCGGGGCAACATGCTACCGTCAGTCTGACCTCTACTTGACGACGCTGCAGCTGATTGTCTAGTCGCTGACGACCACGCTTCGCTGAGCCAGAGGTCTCGACCGCGACGCCTACGTCATATGGGCCAGGCACTTTCCTATGCTTCAACGGCACCGAGGAGGATCCTGTGAGACAGGTGTTCGACTGCGAGCACTTCGCACATGCTAGCGTGCCGATCCGCGAGGTCTACCTCGCCACCAGCGGCCAGTTCACCATGACCATAACGGACCAGAAGGCCATCATCAGGGAGGTCCCATGGTCTCAGATCCCCGACAACGAGAAGCAGCTGTACCGTGACGCCCTGGCTCGTGAATGGTCTTCCTGGCAGCGCTTCTCCGCAGTGGAAGTCCTGGGCATCACGACGTCCAAGCAGGTCGAGTCCGATGCCGAGAAGCGGAAGCGGATTATCCCGTCAAGAGTCTGCTACCGCGATAAGAACGCTCGCCGTGGAGTTTCGGAGATCGACGGGAAGGCACGCCTCGTGGGCATTGGCTACACTGACCCGGACATCCTGACTCTCAGGCGCGACGCGCCCGCATTGACACGAGCTTGTTTCTACATCCTGCTGCAGGTGATTGCCAGCTGGGGCCTCAACCTGTGAAGCGGCGACGTTGCAACGGCTTTTTTCTAGCGGATCAAACCAAGGCCCAAACGGGCAAGCCCATCTACCTCCGCCATCTGGCAGAAGGTTTACCTGGAGTACACAAGTGAGCTCTCCTACTCGTACGCCGCGCCATTAACGGTTTCGTCAACAGCCCGCGACTCTGGTGGCGCGAACTTCGTGATCTCCTCATCAGCATCGGTGGCAAGCAGTGCTTGCTGGACAAGGCGTTGTTTTGTTTTTATCACGCCGAGCGGCTCGTGCGGATTGTGGGTGTTCACGTGGGCGATCTCATCGGCGGTGGCAATTCGGTTCGTGGTGCTGAGCTCGTGACCAACATTCGGAATCGTTTCACCTTTGGCAAATGGTGGGACAATGAGCTGACCTACTGTGGCGAGCGCGTGGTCAAGCAGGATAACGGTAACACCTTCGTCAACCAGTCCGAGTTCTCAGCACAGTGTGTTCCGGCCCCCCTACCGAGATGGAGATCAGCGACACCAGAGGCCACGCTCACCGCAGAGGAGAGGACAAGTTTTTCCAGTGGTTTTGGACCGTGTCAATGGTTGGCGGGAGAGTCTAGGCCCGACCTGGCGGCTGCTACGTCACTCGGACAAGGACCAAACCCGACGATTTCGAACCTCATGGCAATCAACCGTATCTTCCGCGAAGCTCGTGATACCAAGCATGCTGGACTGATGATGGCGGGTTTGGATTTTGCACGTGCCGCGCTCGTGACGTTTGCAGATGCAGCTTGGGCCAGCGCTCACGAGAACCAGAGCCAGGCCGGTTTCATGGTTTTCTGTGCCGCTTCGGATTGCAGCACGCGGTGGAGCCGCATCATTACTCGATAAGCGTTCACACCGCATTCGACGGGTGGTGCGCAGCACGCTAGCAGCAGAAGCACTGGCAAGGGACGCTGGAGTAGATACAGCCTACTTCCTGCGCCGTGTGTTTGCAGAGGTACTGTTTCAGGATTTTCGACCGGGTTTGTCAGGCAAGCTGCCGGCATATTCTATGCCATCGAGGTGGCCACCGACTCACCAAGGACGGAACGGCCTCGACAACGCTCGAGCGCCGCCGTAGCATAGATAGATTTTGCCGGAGTTGCTTGCGCGGTCGAAGAATCTGACGATGAGAACCCGAAGCGCTCCGTGTTCTGGGTTCCGACCGTTCGGCAGATAGCCGACCATCTCGAGAAGGTCAAGCCTCCGGCTCAGTTGCGCGAGCTCCTTTCGCAGAATTGGTTGAGCCTGCGCTCCAATCAGAGTTTGCCTTCCTGATTGATGCTTAACGTGGTTAGGTTTCATGCCTGAACTGACACGTCTCTTGCTGTATACGCTAACCGATTGCCTCTGTGAGCCCAGGCGCAATCTTTAACTCGTTTTGTCTTTGCTTCTCGTGAGAGTACAGGCTCGTTCGAGATATTCTAGGCAAAAGAAAAGGTAGTGAGTGCAATCTCGCTATGAAATATACTGCCTCGTCTCTCTCTCTCTCTCTCGTCCCTCTCCCCTCGCTCCCTGCCCGTGCTCGTGCTGCTCTCGCCTTTCTCACCGCTGCCGGTCCGGCCCCGTTTAGGGCCCTTGAGCTTGCTGGCGCGAGACGCCCGCCGTGCGCACCCGGCAATAACCATTAGCTTCATGCCTGTGAGCCGGCACCATCTCCACTACATCTCAATTAACACGTTTATTGATTTCATCACATCGAATAAGAACCATTACAGTCATAGTAGTACTAATAACACGGAACAAAACCATTATTACTACTAGGCAAGAGTAGCAATAATAACCTTACTAGTAAGAAGGGGAGGAGGAGGAGGAGGAGGAGGAGGAGGAGGAGGAGGAGGAGCAGGAGGAGAGGAGGAGAGGAGGAGGAGGAGGAGGAGGAGGAGGAGGAGGGAGGAGGAGGAGGAGGAGGAGGAGGAGGCGAGGAGAGGAGGAGGAGGAGGAGAGAGGAGAGGAGGAGGAAGGAGGAGGAGAGGAGGAGAGGAGAGGAGGAGGAGGAAGGAGGAGGAGGAGGAGAGAGGAGGAGGGAGGAGGAGGAGGGAGGAGTCAGGAGGAGGACGAGGAGAACGGCCAGAAACGTCTTTCATGCCCCTCGGAGTCTCTTCGAATGTCTCTTGAAATCTTCTTGGAGTCCTCTTGGCGCGTCTTTGGGGCCCCTTGGCAGTCCCAGGGGCCTTTTGGTGCGTCTTGGGCCCCGTCCAGACCCAGGGGGAGGGGGTACGGGAGAAGGGTCAAGACCCCCTCCCCGCCCGCAAGCCGTAGCGCTCACCCCCACCCGCCCTCCCAGCACATATGTAGCACCTGAATCTGGCCCGAGCCTCAGCATATTCAGCAGTCGTCTTTGTACTCCTACTCCTACTCCTACTCCTACTCCTACTCCTACTCCTACTCCTACTCCTACTCCCCGACGACGCCGCCGCCGACGCCGCCGCCGACCGCCGCCGCCGACGCCGCTGCCGCCGCCGCCGCCGCCGCCTCCGCCGCCGCCACCGCCGCCGCTGCCGCCGCCGTCGCCGCCGCCCGCCGCTGCCCGCCGCCGCCGCGCCGCTGCCGCCGCCGCCGCCGCCGCCGCCGCCGCCGCCGCCGCCCGCCCCCGCCGCCGCCGCCGCCGCCGCCGCCGCCGCCGCCGCCGCCCCCGCCGCCGGCGCCGCCGGCGCCGCCGCCGCCGCCGCCCCCCGCTGCTAAACCGCCGCCGCCGCCGCAGCCGCTGCCGCCACCGCTACCGCCGCCGCCGCCGCCGCCGCAGCCGCCGCAGCCGCCGCCGCCGCCGCCGCCGCAGCCGCCGCAGCCTCCGCCACCGCCGCCGCAGCCGCCGCAGCCGCCGCCGCCGCCAATTGTACTCTGTATTGTTTTTTTGACAGGGATGCTGGGGGGGTGGGCGCATCGGGTTGGCTGCGCATGTTCCGAATTTGGAGGCAGAGTGTGTGTTGTATTGTTTTTTACAAGGGATGGTGTGGGGGGTCGTCATGGACTCGGGTTGGCTCCCAGTCGCCTGGGGGAGGGGGTGTTTATTAATAGGGAACAGTGATCAAGACACCCCCCCGCCCGCAAGTTGTGTCGCTCATTCCCACCCGCCCTCCCAACGCATAAGTAGCACCTGGGCCTCAGCATGTCCAATGGTCGTCTTTGGATGGGCAGCTTATGGGAACCAAGCAGACCCCATGTGCGCAACGCAGGGGCGAGGTGCGCCACGCGTGCCAGGCGTGCCACGCGCGTCAGGTGCGCCAGCCACCCTTGTGGCCCAGGTGTGCCAGGCACTCCTTGTGCGCAAGATGCGCCAGGTGATCCACGTGCGCCATGTATGCCGCATGCTCCAGCCGCGCCAGGTGCGCCACGGTCGGGGCACGTGCAGACTGTGCCAGGTTCGCCTGCGCACGTGGCAGTACACATCGGGAAACATAGCGGTTTCACCACCCTTGTCGAAAACGAGTGCGCACACGCGGCGGGGTGGCCATCATAGTGATTGGCGGGCCTGCAGATGTGCCAGCACCCCCGCCGTCTCAGTCAAAAACCAATGCGCAGTGATCGCGGGGTGCTCGCGCATGGTCCAGAGTCTGCCTCGAAGTGCATTATGTTTTTTTCTTTGACGGGGATGCTGGCCCTGTGCAGAGCAGGTAATTTACGAGTACCCCCGCTGTCCCTGTAAAAAACAGTACGAAGTGCTCGCGTCCCCCCCGATCATGACCCAAGATCTTGCCCCGAAGTGGACTTCACATGTTTATGAAGGGGATGGTGGTGGGGGTCCTCATTGGTCCTGGTTGGCTGCCGGTCGCTTGGAGGGGTGTTTACTAATCGGGAGCAGTGATAACCCCTCCCCGACGGGGCATTGGGTTGGAAGAGGAAACGCTCTAAACCACTCACTTTCAGAGGGCTGGTGGGACTGATTCGAACGGGCAATTCGACTCGTAACTGTCGTCGCTCTTAGGCCCCTCATATTTGAATCGTGAAGAAATTCTCAGGCGGGGGGCGAGAAAGTCTCAGGCTCACGAGTGCCGCTCGCAGAAGTATATGCGCCCATGTCACGTCATTACATCCGTATAGCGTCTCTCAAGCTACTCATGCCCCGCATTGCGTAGGGGTTGGGTACTTCGACAGGGTAATTGACATCGATGGTGGGAGGGTGCACTCATGGGTACGCGTTGGCTGCCGATCGCCTGGGGGAGGAGGTGTTTACTACGAGGGAGCAGTGATCAAGGCAGCTCCCTCAGACGCAATCGGTTTGTCTCACTCCCATCCGCCCTCCCACATAGAAGTAGTACCCTAAAATGAGCATATTCAGGGGTGGTCTTTGGATGGGCAGCTATTCTCGGAACCAGTGCAGACCCCAGGTGCGCGACGCATGCGGCGAGGTGCGCCACGCGTGCCAGGCGCGTCACGTGCAACAGGCGCGCAGCAGGCACCCCTGGTGCTCCAAGCATGCCAGGCACGCCTGGAGCTCCAGATGCGCCACGTGCTCTACCTGCGCCAGGAGTGTGCTGCATGCTCCAGCCGCGCCAGGTGTGCCTCTTTCGGGGCACGCGCAGAGTGCCAGGTGTGCCTGTGCAAATCATCGGGAAACATGTTGGACCCTTCATCCATGTTGAAGACCAAGGCACAATCGCGGCGGAGTGGTCATCATTATGTCTTGTGAGCCTGCACACAGCAGGCAATATGCCAGGCCCCCCCGCCGTTCTTTCCAAAAACCAATGCAAAGTGATCGCGGGTTGCACGCGCGTGATCCAGATTTAGCCGCAGTGCATTTTGTATTATCTTTTGCCAGGAATGCTGGCCCTGCGCAGAGCAGGCAATATGCTGGCGCCCCCGCCGTCCCTGTTTAAGAGCAATGCAAAGTGCCCGCGCCCCCCCGAGCATGACCAAAGAATTTGCCTCAAAGATCATTTTGCATGGTTATTTGACTGGGATGGCGGGGGGGGGCTCATTGTCCTGGGCTTGTCGCTGGTCGGTTGGGGGAGGGCTTTATATTCATGAGGAACTATGTTAAACGCATCCCCGGAGCAGGGGGAGGAGGGGTTCTGGAAGAGGGAAGAAAACAACTCGTTACATCACCTTCGCCCAGAGGGTTGGTGGAACTGCCCCCGGGAAGCGGTCGGGACCTGTGTGGTCGCATATCGAGCAAATCATCGCTACCATTGCCTTGTTTTCGCCCTTGAGGGTTTCCTGGGAGACCCTCCCTCATCGCCACGGCTGGATTCGCCTGGAAGTTCTGGTCAGACTGCACCCTAGGCGAGATCGGGGGAGTAGCGATATCGGTATCTTTTTTGATTTCCCCATTGCCGGTGCGGAAGAGTGGGGAGATGCATGAAATTATCGAGTGTCTCCCGCGCTGGCCTTGAGCAGCACATCAACGTAGTCTGCGCGGTGCAGCACCAAGCAGTGCAGAGTGGTGCAGGGCAGAGCAGTGGAAAGTGATGTAAAGCAGTACAGATCAGAGCAGTGAATACTAGTGCAAAGTAATGACGCGATGCAGCTCAAGTCAATTTGGTGTGTCGCAAAGCCAGGCAAAGCCCTGCAAAACCATGCAAACGGCGCAGCCCGTGGCGCAACCTGTGGCCAGGACAAATTCCGGGGCTAGCACGCGCAACTCGTGTGCGCAGCCCATGGCCACGAAACTCCCCAGGTTGTCACGCGCAATTCATGATGGGCACGACCTGCGGTCACCAGAACTACCAGGTCATCCTGCGCAAGCCATGGCGGACATGTCACGGGCACGAGCTGTGGCCCCGAGACATTCCCGGGCCAGCCCACGGCGCTTACCATGGGGACGGCCCGCGCCCCCACGAGGATGCGCCGGACCCTGTCGCCACAAGAGCGGAGCGGGGCCAGGAGCAGCAGCGGCATCAAGGTGTGGGGCACTCGGAGGAGGCGACGTCGGCCGTCGGTGTGGCCCTCCGCCAGTTGCATTTGAAACGCGCGCACGCGCTCACTCTTGGCGTCGCGACCACGCGCGCATCAGCGCGGCGGAGAGATGCTAGCGGCCGAATGCGGAAGAGGGCGCGCGGCCCAGCCGCAGCTCCTCACAGCGGCAAGGGCGTGCTGGCTCCCCCCCCAGAAGTAACCGCGCAGCACGGCTCGCATGGGGGGGGGGGAGCCGCGAGGGGGTGACGAGGGGGGCGCCCGGAGGGGGGACGGAAGCGAAAGGGACAGGGCAAGCGAGAGGGCGAGGGGCAAGCAGTGCGGTGGTGCTCGAGCGCACCGGGTGGGCAGTGGCTGACCCGCAGAGGGTAAACAATTAAGGTGCAGTGGCTCAATCGGTAGGAGACCAGCACACGCACACACGCACAAATAGGCACACGGATGGTCAGGGAAGCAGCAGGGTGTTGAGAACCATGGGTAGCAGTAAAGACAATCGACTGGACATGGGCGAGGGTGCTGCCACCATCATTCTTCTTCTTGTGTGCACCGTCATCCTGGTGGCTCGTGCGAATCCATGCACTGGGATTTGTTTGTTTGCTGCTACCAGCTCTAACACAATTGCTCTGGAATGCTATCTCGTTATTGCTTTCCTCTCACGCTGCTGCCGTCTTTGCTGTGTGTTCTGTGTAGTCACGCTGTGGTAGTTAGTGTAAGCATGTCTCGTGTGCAGATGCGTCTTTCAGCTATTCCTTGTGTCTACGGAGTTGGCCCATGCTGTTTCGAAGGCGACGCCGTCGGAGCCTTCCAAGGAGCAGCCCGCTGCCAAGAGGCTCGGTGGGCCTGTTGAGAAGTACTGGCAACATGTTCACGCGCTCGTTCACACCTCGTCTTTGTTGTTTCCTCTGTATCGGACGAGGAGCCGCAAAGCTGTAATTCCCCATCGACAGCATTGATGCAAAACGCCTTGCGTCAACACTTTCGTACAACTAGACGACCAGAATGGGCGTCTTCTCGGATATGGTGGGGTACCCTAGGTTCCTCGCGGGCCCTGTTGGGGCCCTCTCTGGGACCTCTTGGGGCTGTGTTGTCTGGGCTCCCCAGAGTCCTCTTGGGGCCCCCTGTGCTCCTTTTGGAGCTTGCTGGGCCCTTTTTTGACCATCCTGGAGCACGCTCGGTCCCGTCTTGCTTGTTTCTGGGCCCCTTCTGCGGCCTCGGTGGTCCTCCGGGGCTGGACAGAACCCCCAACAGTGACACGTCGATTAGTGAATTGTCCGTTTTCGGTTCTCGAGATGGCGCCGTGGCCGTCATTTTCCAGGCTTGCGCCCGCAAGGTTTGGGCCTCAGGTCGTTTTCACTAAGCCACGTTTTGCTAAAGGGGGGTCTGTCCATCCCCGAGTCCCGCTCCCGTTGCAGGTCCAGCACATGTCCAGCCGCCTGCGGCGAATCGCGTCAGCGTTCCAGCGCATGGCTCTGTGTGGCGACGCTTCGAGCATTGCCCACACGGCCAGAGCACGTGACACATCTCCTCTGCACTTTTGTGGGGCTCTCACTCGGTCTTGGGGTTTCCGAGGGCCGGGTGGGTGCCATTCTTGGGCTGGCCGGGGCCCCTCAGGACTTGGGGGGCCTCTTGGTGTTGCCTTGGGGGTATCTTCGCTTTGAAGGAGTCCCCCCAGGGTGCACTCATACAGTGCGTTGCTCGTGCCGCCTCCGCCCTGGCTCAAGGCCCATCTGCTTGCGTCGCCCGCGACGTATCTTTTGCGGCCGCCGCGGAGGACAAAAGACTTTTGTTTCCCCCGTGCTGCCAGCACCGTCGTTGTCCCCTGTAACCTCTCACGTCCTTATTCTGAGATGGCGACTTCCGTCCACACTTGGTAGCGGAGCCGTCGCACCTGCGGCAGGTCTGCTCATCTCCGTCGTCGGCGCTTGGACCATCATAATGACTTACGCCGACCACTAGCGTCAACGTGGAAGCGGATGTGACCTCGAGGATAAAGTCTCCTGAACACCTTCCTGGGTGTCCACGTGACAGTCACCAAGTAGTACGCTACCATTGCAGTTCCACCTGCCACCACCCGTGTCACGCGCGCTCGCGGATATTCGACCGCGTCAACCAAGGCGTTCCCTTTCCGACCCCTACCTGGACAAGCTCTACTGCAACGCCATCAAGGTCTACGGATGCATGGAGCCTCGACCGCTTACTCCAACGACCTTGACCTGTATCACAACATGAACAACTACACCGTCGACCTTACCATTGACAAGTCCCGAGCGCGGGAAATCGTCCGACAACCACGCCGCCGAGATTGAGGAACGCCAGCTGGCGAGCCTCTCTCAACCACCACCAGCTTGTGGACCCACGACCAGCACCTCGCTGCAACCACTGCGCCTAACGTTTTCTCCTTCCGCCTCCACTGCCTGGGCCTCTTCATCAACGGGCTTGTAGCCATCGCCATTGGCGTCGTCATCAGCCGCGTGGTGAGGAAACGCGAGGGCAGGCAGACGACGGACCCCTCATGGGGTTGCAGTGACGACGCCAAGAGCCAGTTTAACGAATTGGAAAGGGAACTGCGGATGCGCGCCTCGGGCAAGCACGCCAATCGCATTGAAATTTGAGGTGGCGTGCTCAGAGGTGGCATGCGTGCGAAGGAAACAGATCCGACACGGCATGGCGTCCCTTTTGTTTTCTTGACTACTGGCTGAAGCTATGTTTGCATGTGGCGCGCGTGCTGCGTGGCGGCCTTAGTCCATGCAGCGTGCGCGCCGGCAGACGACCCTCTAAAATTCCTGATTTCGAAGGGCCCGGTTTTGAAGAGCCCATGTCCATTGGTCAGGGGGGCGCGCGTCGCATCCGATAATCTGCCTTGGAAGCTACTGCGCAGGCAACCGTCATAGTCGCGGTAAACAGGGCCCTTAAGACATTTGTTCAAGCGGGCGGCGACGGGTATATGGGGTGGGCGATGCCACCTGGCTAACCACCTCCTAGGATGACAATGGCGGGTGAAGCGGTCCATGTGCCGTCATGGAAGTCAGCGAAGAATGTGAACAACATGTAATCGGATCTGGGATTAGAAATACTGCAACCCAATTCCACCGTGCGAGACTGGCTGTATCTATGGAAGTATTGATAATCAAGGAATATGTCATGGACAACATGACCATGCGAACAGTTCTCGCATGCCCATTTGCCCTCCAGCAGGCAAGACGCCCATCGCGTTTTGGCTCCGTGCCTGACCGTATATATATACACATATACATGTATATATATATATATCGATATACACATGTGTGTATATATATGTGTATGTGTAGGTGTTTGTGTATGTATGTATGTATGCATGTATTAATGTATGCATGTATGTATGTATGTATGTATGTATGTATGTATGTATGTATGTATGTATGTATGTATGTATGTATGTATGTACGTACGTATGTATGTATGTATGTATGTATGTATGTATGTATTGTACGTGCTCGCGCGCTATGTGTTGTCCAGCGGGCCTCCCCACCGTGTGCCGTACCAGGATACGGCTGAACAGAACTCTCTACAGCCCCTCTTTGCTCAAGGTTTCTTGGGCACCAGTCTCGCCGCCCCGTGCATGCAGGCGGCGGCTGGCTGGGTGCTTGGGATCCTCGCGTCCCGCTGGTCCGCGCCGGCGCCGCCCGCGGACCCGTCCTGCACCTGCATCTTCAGCGGGCACGAGCCGGGCTCGGGCGTGCTGGACATCCTCCGGGAGCAGCTCTCGCGCTGCGGCCCGGAGCACCTCGGGGCGGCCTGCCCCGCGTGCCCGGCCTGCGTCTGTCCGCAGTGCCCGGCCCCAGCGGCCCCGTCCGGGGCCTGGGCGCTCGTGGTCCTCGTCGGGCTCGCGAGCTTCGCCGCCGGCGTGGCCGCTGCGGCTGCCTGGCTGCTGCGGGTGGGGGCGCCTCGCGCCGTCCTGCCGCCGCTGGCCCTCGCGGAGGGGCCTGCTGGGGAGCGCGTCGGTGCGGCGACGCCGGCGACCCTCCAGCGAGTGCGGAGGCGGGCTGGTGCTGTGAATGCCGAGGGCGCTTGACGTGCCCTACGCCCAGTGCCTGGTGCGGTACGACGACGACGAGAACTTCCAGTGGCACCACAGGGTCCTCCTGGTCAAAGGGCCAGACCAATGGTGGGTCTGGGTCACTCCCGACGGGGAGATCGCGGCGGCCAACTTAGGAGGCTTCCGCGTGTGCGCCCTCCAGCGGGGGGGCGCCTTCCCCGACCGCTATCGGGGCAACATCTACGTCTTCGACGATGCCGATGTGGACGCCGCAGAGATGCACCAGTACTACCGCGAGGCGCGGGCGCTGGGGGACATCCTCGGGTATCCCGCCTCGGCCGCCCCCCTCGCCGTGGACGAGCGCTGGTTCGTCTCGGACCCCACCTCGCTCCACTACGGGGAGGAGGTGCCCGCGGCCGCCTTGGGCAACGACGAGCTGCTCCACCGCCGGGGCGAGGTGGGCCTTGTGCTCATCGACGACGTGTGGCAGACGGCGGTGCGGGTCGAGGCCGGCAGCTCCTTCGAGGAGTGGCAGGCTCGGGCGCGTGGAGGGCCTGGCCGCGACCCGCGCATCGCCGGCGACGAGCGGGACGAGGAGAAGGATCGCTTCATGAGCTTCCGGACCTCTGTCTCGAAGATGCGCGAGCAGGCCATCCCTGGGTGGCCCCTCAAGGGGAAGCGGGCCACACGCGAGGCTTGCCTCGCTCTTCGGGATGCCGGACAGGAGGGTTGGGACGAACACCACACGACGTGGGTGAGAAGGTCCGGCATCCCGGAGAAGAGCAACACCGCCCGCGAGCACCGGATGCTCTGCTCGGTGCTCCGCATCATGCAGCAGTTCGACCAGCTCGACCTCTACAACGTGGCGGGGGTGGAGTACATGGTGCGCCGCTTGAAGCAGCTCGAGGCCGCCACCAGGCGGAACCCGAGGCAGCCCGACTTCGACGGGCTCGACGTGGTGCTGGACGCCGCCATCGACGAGTCCGGCGGCTTCGTGCTCCCGGCCTTCGATGCCTGGGTCGGCGAGCAGCAGCGGTCCGAGGCGGCCATCATGAAGGCAGGGAGGCAGTGGCGGGAGGAGACTTCGGCGGGCGGCTCCAAGGACAAGCCGCCGAAGCACCCCAAGAAGGAGGGCAGCGGGTAGGCGGGCGAGGGGCCCCCTACCCTGCCGTCCCGGCCGGCGGGCTCACCGCCCCGCGGCGCCGGGCCGGCCTTCCCGGCGTGGGCTCCTCCACGTCCGCAGTTTTGTTCTCTTCGGCATGGCTCGTCGTGATCATCGTCGTCATGGTGAGCCTCTGCCCCTTCCGGTCCCGCAGCCCTCCGGGTTCGTGGACCTGGCTGACGCGCCGAGGTATCTGGCCCTCCGTGCCGTACGTCGACGCTGTCGCGAACACCGACTTCGGGAAGCCGTTCGCTCGATCAACGACCTCTCCCGTGCCTCGGTCCACGGGTTCGGCAGCGTGCCAGCCCGTGGCTCCACCAAGCCCGGCGAGCCCTCCGCCACGCAGGCCAGTTGCCTCGCCCACTTGCGTCGCAACATCGGCCGGCACGGCCCACGGCCGCCTGGGCTCACACCTCGCGGGGCCCTTCAGGAGCTCCTCAAGTCCGACTCGCTGTACGCCGGGGCGCCCTCCAAGGTCGCACCCTACAGTGAGGACAAGCTCAAGTTCTGGAAGTCGAAGATCGTCCCGAAGCGTGTCGAGGACATCTGCCCCGACTTCGTCGTCCGCGCCTTCGCCGACCCCGATCGGTACGTGCGGAAGCCGGACAGGGTCTTCTTGGCTGATGCGGAGGTGCTCGACCCCATCGTGCCCTACTGGGACCCTCACCTCGCTGGCTCGCCCGACGCGCGGGTCAGGTTCGTCCGCCGCCTGGCGGAGCGAGGCCTTGTCGGCTACCGTCGGCGTATTCGTGCTCGCGTGGGCTGCTTCTTCGTCGAGAAAAAGGGTGGGTTCATCAGGCTCGTGGTCGACGCCCGCGAGACGAACCGGACCCACTGGAGTCCTCCGCACGCTGCCCTCGGGACTCCGGCCGCGCTCGCCGAGCAGGACTGGTCGGACGCCGCCCTGGGAGCCTCCGACGCGACCTCGGCGCCCGCCATCTACGGTGCCTCGCTCGACCTGGCCGACAGCTTCTACCAGTTCTGCTCGGACGCCCTCGCGGAGGACTTCGGGATGGACTACCCCGAGCCCGCGTCGGTGTACGGGGCGACGCACGTCTGGGAGGGCGGCCGCTTCATCCCCGTCGGCGCCGACGAGGTGGTGTTCCCCGCCTTTCGTGGCGTCGCCATGGGCTGGAGCTGGGCTCTTTGGGTCGTGCACTCCTCGGTCACTTCGTGGGTGGGTCACGCGCTCTCAGGCGGGCCTGCGAGCCTCGTCCTGGACCGTCAGCCGCCGCGCCCGGCGGCCCCGGGCAGGCCCGCCGGCTCCGTCTACGTCGACAACGTGGGGATCCTGGGTCTCTCCGCCGCCGATGCCGCGGCGGGCCTGGCCAGCGTCATGGAGGAGCTCGACCGCCGGGGCATCGTGTACCACGAGGTCTGCGAGCCGTCCCTCGAGTTCGGTATGGTGGGCGTGGTGTATGATGGCCTCCGTCGGACTCTTCGCCACTCCGACGAGCGGGCCTGGCGGCTCTACCTCGCCTGCCTGGAGCTGGAGCGCCCGGGCGTGCCCCGTGCTGCGTGGCAGGTGCGGGTCGTCCTCGGGCACTTCATCCAGCACTGTCTCCTCCTGCGGCCAGCCATGTCCATCTTCCGCCACCTCTACAGGTACGTGGACGAGTGCCGGCTCGGGCCGCCTTCGCCTCTGCCGGGTCCCGCTCGGCAGGAGGTCCGTGTCTTCCGAGGGCTCATCTTCCAGGCGGTCGTCGACCTCGCCGCGCCCGTGTCGGACATCGTGCTCTGCTCCGACTCCTCCGAGGCGGGCTACGCCCTACACCGCCGGCGCTGCGACCCCGAGGCGGTGCGCCGACTCGCGCGCCTTCGGGAGCGCTGGCGCTTCACGCCCGACGAGAAGCGGCCCGAGGCCCTGGAAGACGACACCTACACGCCCGGCTGGCTTCCTGGCGCTGGAGGGGTGCTCGGTGAGGGGGACCCCAGCTGCGGCATTGCGACCTGGGCCCCGCCACCGAGGAGGGCCGACGAGCGCCCCCACGGTACCGTGCGGGCTCGGGTTGCACAGGCCCCGCGGCGGGCGACCTTCGAGGACATCCCCGACGAGCTCGTCGCCCCTGACGCCTGGTCGCTGGTCGTGGAAGGTGCCTGGAGGACGCGGGCGCCCATCCACATCCTGGAGGCCCGAATCGCCCTCGCGGGGCTCCGACACGCCTCCAGGAGCCTCGAGTGCCACGGGCGCCGCGTCCTCAGCCTCGGGGACAACATGGCCGAGGTGCTCTCGACCGAGAAGGGCCGCGCCGTCGACGTCGGCCTCGGCTCCGTGTGCAGGCGCAGTGCTGCCATCCAGGTGGCCACCGGCATCCGCTGGCGGCGCCGATACCTCGACACAGAGAGGAACATCAGCGATGGTGGCTCGCGCAAGGCCCTGCAGGGGCTGTACCGCCCTGGACAGCGTCGCGTGGGGCCTGGCGCCGGCGCCGCGGGGGCTGTGGGACGGCCCGGTGCGGCCCCGCCCCCGCCGCCGCCCCTGGGGCAGGATGCCGGCGCTGCGGGGCCGGCTCGGGCTGCCGCCGCCTTGGCGGCGCCCGCCGTCGCGGGGGACCCAGCGTGCCGACGAGGGGGGGAGGATTCAGACCTCTGCCGTCACACCCCTCGGCCGCTCCCCTGCGACGGCCCGCCGAGGCACCCCAGGCGCGTGCCGGCCCCCCCGCGTGACGTGCTCCTTCGGCGAGGCCGGCAGGGGCCGCGCAAACCTGCCTGGCTCGCGCCCCCGCCGGGCCTCCCGGCCCCCTCGGTGGCTTGGCCGAGGCGGCCGCGTGGCGGCCACGCTGTCGCAGGCACGGGCTCCACCCGCCGCCGGCCGCCGCCCTGTCGAGGCTCGGCCGGCCGCTGGGGCCGGTGTGGGCCCAGGATGCAGCCAATTCGAGTGGATGAAACGTCAGATCACAGTCCGTCCTCTCGGCCTCCTGCTACGTCTGCTTCCACTACGCCGACCGCTGCGCGGGCTCCGCGACCCCGGGCTGCCTTGGAGGTCTTCTCGGGCTGCGGGCGCTGGACTGGTGCCCTGGCCCAGGCGGGCCTCGTCGTCGCGGCCCCCATGGACATCAAGCACGGGCCCTGGTGCGACCTCCTCAACCCGAAGGTCGAGTCTCAGGTGCGTTCCTGGATCACCTCCCGGGCCGTCTGGTTCGTCCACTTCGGCACCCCGTGCACCCCGTGGTCCATCTCTCGGCGAGGGGCTCGCGAGGTCTCCGCCATCAGGGCGGCCCGTCGGTGCGCTCACGTCACGGTGCGTCTCTTGGAGGTCTGCAGCCGCTACGGGATTCACTGGTCTCTGGAGAACCCCCAGTCCTCGGGCCTCTTCCGTTGGGCCCCACTCCGGAAGTTCTTGGACCAGCACTCGCGTTCCTGGGCTACCTATCACTGCTGCCGGTTCGGCGCGCCCTACAAGAAGCCCACCACCATCGTCTCAAGTCTGGGGGCCCTGCACGACATCGGCCTGCTCTGCGAAGGGGGCCACAGGCACGAGCACTTGTCTGGGAAGGTACGTGTCCGTGCGCCCACGGGAGGGCTCAAGCATCAGTGGAAGACCACGTTGGCCGGCGCGTACCCCCCGGGTGCCTGCCACCTCGCTGCCAGCATCTTGGCAGCGGCAGCGCCGCGCGGCGCCAAGAGGCCAGATGGTGCTCCACTACTCGAGGAACGATGGCAGGCTGACCTCTGCCGGGCAGCGGGTTGCGACTTCGGTCCTCGGGCGCTCCCGTGCCCGACCTGTCCCTCGCGCTGGGCCCCGCTCTGGAGGTCGGACGCCGAGCAGTGGGGCGGCGTCTGGGGGCCCCCGAGGCCCCCCGCTGGAGGAGGCTCCGGCCGAGGGCCGCGGGCCAGTGCGCCGGCGCCCCGCCGCTGCCGGTGCCGCGCGGCGGCCGCGCGCCCGGCGGGAGCCCGCTGACTACAACCCTGGCTTCCTCCGGCGCTCGAGGGTGACCGCCACGACCGCCGAGCGGTACCACGCCAGCCTGCACGAGTTCGCCGCGCAGATGGGCCTGGACCCGGCGCGCTGGACCGCCCGCGACCTCCCTGCCGTGGACGCCGCCCTCGACCGCTTCCTCGAGGAGCTCTTCGTAGCCGAGCGGTCGCGGGGCGACGCTCGGTATGCGCTGGCTGCTGTCGCCGACCACTTCAACGTCAGCCTCCGCCAGCCTGGGGTCCTCCCGCTCGCTCGCGCTGCCATGGCTGGCTGGGGCAAGCTGGAGCCTGACTCGACTTCGGATCCCCTCCCGTGGTCGGCCGCGGTGCTGATGGCGTACCACCTGTCGCGGACTGGCGTCGAGTCGGACCTCGAGGCCGCCCGCGGCCTCGTTGTGCAGTTCGACACCTACCTGCGGCCCTCGGAGCTGGTGCTCATGCCCCTGGTCGCGTGCTT